AGCACTCAGTTTTAAATGTTTTGCGAAGGGTTTCTGTATGTTAGACGACTTGACCAGTCTAATTTTTTCTCTCATTTAAATGACTGGTAAATTAATCACCAGGTACATATACCATCTGCTGATGGTATATGCAAACCATCAGCAGAGCACATGTGCCATCACTTTTTAGTGGCTATGCAGTGCATGTTCAGCCTATGGCAGAGTGAGTCACAAGCAAAACAAGGCGTCGAGCTTGTGTTTCAGGATTGTGCTCTATATAGATTTGTTTTGTTAAAATATTCAACTTCTAATGAGTGGCTCCCAAAACACAGTACAGAATTCTGCAGATGTTTGGACTGCGTGCTGTCATTTATCGGGTACACAATGTGATGAGCAAACAGCCAACAGGACAGCTGATGGACTGCAAATAAGCATCAGAGCGTGCTCCTATAAACAACTTTCATCTCGCTGTTCTGTGATGATTGTGAGATCATTGTCATATAGCTTATTTTATGCCCTGTTGAACACTCAATCCAGGTGTAGGTGTGTGTTTCAGATTTTCTATCAGCAGGTTGTATGCTGCTCCTGGGAGCTCCTCCAAACCTGATGATTAATGTCTTTCCCTGCCAGTACATGCTACCACTGTGTGTGTGTTCGTGTGTGTGGAACAGAGAGGGAGACAGATGGCCCTCCACGTCCTGTGGTTTATGACACCTTCTCCAGCCTGCTAGCCACACTACGCTACATTGTCCTCTCACACAAACGCCTGCCTGCACAAACACACAGAGCAGTATGTCATGCATCAGTGTCACCGCAGTAATTACAGGCTTATCACGTAGCCATAATCTTGAGCCACAGTGACGTGATAACAGCCAGCTTCATTGTCCGTGGTGTGCACTCGGTGTTTGTATGCTATGTAAGCACTAATACCAGTAACCCACACAGCTGAGCCAACTGTGTCACTTATTAGAGGAAGTAATCATTCAAATGGGATTACAAGACATTGATTGTTGCTATATAGTGTTTCATACGCCAAGTTAAAAATTCAATTTACAGCCAGTCATCATACTTGTATGAATACCAGCTCATAAAGCTGTGCTCATCTGTTGATGCCTGTTCTAATGATCTCATCTGACTTAGTCACTTGTGATCCAACGGCTATTCTGAACTCAAAGGATGCACACAACCAAAAATACCTGGATGCATTTCGTAACATTTTCCTGGGATGACTCAGTGTTACGGATCAAAGGAAAACAATGAAAGCAAACCCTGAAACCATTTCATTCTTAGCACTTAACTGCAATGGAAACACATGACTCGAGTGTGTTGCTCTTTGCTAGTTACACAGTTTGTCTGTTTATACAGAGAAATGCAATATAGCAAAAAGGGTTGTCCTCACTGTCTATAAAGTCTGTAAAAAAGCTATATTGTATGTATACTTAAAACTAGTCATATCGAGAGCTGGATTTTCACAGTGAGTGAATCAGCCACATTCGAGCCAAATGCACATTTTGAGCTCAGTGTTTAGTAATGTGGACTGCACATAAACTGTGAGTGTGAGCTTTTGTGTGTGTGTGTGTGGGGGGGGGGGGGGTTGATAAAACAACATCTAAAAACACACAAAACACAGTCAAATGCTGACAGGCTCCCAACCAGCCAGAATGGTTTGCACTTGTTTAGGTGGAGCAGGCAAAACCCTGCACATCAGTCATTCTGTCACCGACAGACGCCCCAGGTTAAGTTCAATGCCTGTGAAGACACAGAAAGGGGGAGACACAACGCCAGTAGCCAAGAGAAAGAGGAGATAAGCATAGTGAGAGGGTGAACACAAACAGGAGCTAACTAATAGGAAGCATGATCGAAGTGGCTGTCATAAATAGAGAAATATGTAGAAATATAATGCTGCCAAACAGGCTCCTGAACATGGAGCATTTCCCCAGCAGCTCTGATTTGTTGGAGCGCTGCTCATTGAACAGATGCAGGTGTGGATGTGAGGGAAGGTCACACACTGCTCTATTACACCCAGCTGAAATTGGCTAAGGACGATGTTTCGGTTAAACAGCTGTCTTTCAGCACCACTTCACATGACATTTTAAGACTTTTATTCCAAACAGCAGCAAGGAAAATTACAGCTGAAACAAATCTTAGCTTTCACTGCATTCCTCAAGGATTAGGATAATACAGGACAAGTCATGACAGACACGATGTGAGACCCTAAAATGCCTTGCTCAGGGACCATGCAGGAATCAAATCTGTGATCTTGTACTACATTATCAAACAGTCTATTTTCTACTAATGCTGTGCCAAACCTGGTGCTTTCTATGAGAGCCAATACACAGTATTACTAGCAGAAGTTGGGTTACATCTGCCAAACATTGGTAAATTTGTTACAGCAGCCCCTCCCCACAAGCACTGACAACTTTGGGAGAAGCAATTTTGTGGTGCTGTGATTCTAAATTGGGCAATGGCACTGCATAGGTGAAAAAGGGGTGTAAGACACTTCGATCGATCAGGCTTGTTTTCAAAGTGTGGGACTCAGTCAAAAGAGTTTTGGGAAGATAAAATGGTTCTCTGAAGTACAGTAATGAGATTGCATGATACGTTGTGATCCCAAAGCTCTCCAAGTCTGCCCTAATTAAACGTTGTAAGCTCGCAGCTTGTCGTAAAGAGCAACACACTGTATTTTTCCACATTAATCAGCGCAAATGACTCCATCATGTTTTGAGCGAGCGTGCACTTTCTCTTGTGCTTTACAAAAACGCAGGCCCTACTTTTTGTTCCTCCAAATTTCACTTCCTCCTCGCAGTACGGGTTTTTGAGCTGCCGACAGAATTAAAAGAACGTCAGCCAGTTCCCACTTTGTCAAAGTGTCTCGCTCTTCCATTTACTCGACCTCCTCCGATAAGCGAGACCAATTCTGCTGATGTATCCCTGTCTGCAGTCTCAAACTCACAGCCTCAACAACGTGCTTTCAATCAGCCCCGCTGGCTTTGGGCCCCTGCAGTAGATCATCTCTCGACATCACAGGGATTGAGGCGGCAAGATCTGCTAAAGCTTGCCTTCATAAAACATTTATTTTACCTCTTGACGGCAACACGCAAACACTCCTCAGCCTAAATTATTTCCACCTCGTCCTAAAACGTTCTCTTTTTGTACCAGTCACTGCCTGGACTCCTTGCCAAAAACCACACAGATCCAGTTGAGCAAAGTGCCATTTTATGTGTTAGGTTACTGCCAGGCTGATTTAAGCCATCCCCACAGAACTCACATTGGCTGTGTCCTTCAGGCTGCAGGACACTTCCTCTAACCACTGGACACTCCACGCCTCTGCTGAGCATTAATTCATTTACTCCACAGCAATAGCTCAGTCATGCTTGTTTAGCAACCAGCAAGGGAATTTGCTGTGCCCCGCATTCATATTCTGCGTGTTGTTTGCCCTTTAGCACCTTGGGTTTGCTCGCCGAGAAATCCACTTGTCTGTTGTGTTTGGTCATTAACAGCTGCGACCACCTGTGTGGCCATTTTGCTGCAGCATTAGCCCATGTTTGGCTCACATGCACGTGTGTGGCGGGTACATGACCGCACTAATGCTACTACAACATTTGCGTAGCACTGCAGTTGGGAAGACAGAAGGTTATTAACATTAAATAAGACCTTCTCACGGACATTTTCTAAATTTGTCGCCTGGGTATCAGGGGTGCAAGTGAGGAATTCTCACTCTTGTGTCCTTGCCAACTTTGGAAAAAAAAAAAAGTCCAGATGGGGAAGACAAAGGACGCTTTTGGTGACATGAGGAATCAGACAGGTTCTTGGCAAAGCTGCAAACACACCAATCTCAATGGAGTGTCCTCTAAACAATCAACTCTCAGTAGCAATAAGCTGGACCCAATGATAACAGCATGTCTGCTCCTCATTCCCTCTGTGAGCAGCAGCTCTGCACTTTGACTGCATGTTTATGGGTGTGCATTTGCGAACAAATATGTATGCGGTCATGAGTACAATTTGCATGTTGAGTGCATCTGTACTCAGCGTGTGTGTGTGTGTGTGTGTGTGTGTCTCTGATGACAGCAGGCTGATTAAGCTGTTGCATAGTAATGAGCTATGGCTGTCTGTCTGGCAGCTGCTCTGACAACCTCTTTTCACAACTAGCACTCCCACACACACACACACAGAAAAAGACAGAGAAATAAACGCGGGCATTTCAGTAACACACAGAAGAAACACTCTCATGAAAAGGCATCAAAGCTGACAAGAGCACTGAAGCATTGTTGTTTATGTTGTAGTTTAATCACTGGGAAAGTCACGCTAATGCAGGAGAGGATAATTATGATGCATTAAAGAGGGAGATCATGTAACAATGCACAGCTTCCCTATAGCCACAGCTAAACAGCTACACTTCCTCTCCTTCACTCTTTGTTGTGTTTTCCTCCTGATAATGAGTGTCACTGAGGAATAACAGCCATTTCCTGCTTCAAATCACTGATGTCAGGGGGAAGTAGCAGCCACAGGCACAGAGGGCAGCTGTGTGTGTGCGCGCACGCACCTTCGTGCTGTGCATTTGTACGCTTGAGTACCTGTGAGCGAGGTCATGTGCATGCCTATAAGAGGTCTCTTACAAATATCTGCAGGGCAGTGAAATGGATGTGTGTGCTTAAGGAACAAGCTATCCCTCTTCCCTCAGTTCACTGAGGTCAGTGTCAGCTGGCAGGAACATGGAGACTAATGCACTGCTTAGAGGAGACGTGAAAGGGTGCAATTAGTAAATAAACATACTGACTTTACGGATCTTCCTTTCACAGAAAACACACCAAATTGAATAACACAAAAAAGAGGAAAAAAAGAGGATACTTTGTTTATGTTTACTCTGAATTGTGTAGTAAGGGTTCAAAATCCACACAATTGTCAGTTAACATGGCCAGCCCCTCCATTCCCAAAGGACCCTACACCACCCCACCCCTCACACCCCCAGCGGGGCCCCACTAATGTAAAACACACCAAAGGTAATGTATATCCATCCTTACCTTGTTGATGTCCCCTTCCTGACATCACACATCATGCACTTAAAAGCCTCTGCCGTGTTCTTGTACGTGCACACGCTGCAGTCCCAGAACCCCTCGTCGGAGGAGGGCTTCGGTTGACGCTTCGGCCTTTTAAGACAATAAATTTAGAAAAAAAAAAAAGGAGGAAAAAAAGAGGAGAAAAAAACGAAAAGAAAAGATGGGAGAGGAAAGGATCGAGAGGAGACAAGAGTGAGTTCGGGCACCACTCATCCACGAAGGCTATCGATAGCAAACATCAGTGTAAGCCTGTAGGATTTAGGAAATCATCTGCAAAGCGCGCTATGATCCGACACTGTAATTGGCGATGAGGTTTTAACACCCGCGCGCGCGCGCACACACACACACAGTCTGCACGCGCACATACACACAAGCAGCGAGTGAGGCAATGAGAGAGAGAGGGAGGGAGAAGGGGAGGGGGGCCGTAAAGAAAACCCATTTTTTCCCCCGTGCGCTTGCCGATGTCCGTTCCCCTCCCCTAGCCCTGAATATCCAGCACGCACTAATTCGCTCGTTACCTTGTCGGACTCCTCTTGTCGCCCATGCCAGACCGGGGTTTATCTGGAGGTGCTGAGACGACCAGGAGCCTTGTTATTTCAATTTTTTTTAGCCGAGAAGCGATGCGCTTGTGCCGCTCGGCTTCCAGCTGTCGTGGAAACTCCGCTTGGGAAATGCTCACGTGACGGGCTGTGACCAATCACAGGCTGGGTTACTTCCCGTGGCTTGACATTCCTCTTGATGAATCAATGCCGCCTTCACGTTCCCTGCGTAAGCTCCCCCTTCTGTCGATTTAGAGTGCTAAATAATGATTCCATTTTGCTTTTCTATGACAGTAATGACTAAAAACCATACAAGTCTGCGCCTAAATCCATTATACAATATTTCACGTGCAGTCTTTCCCTCTAATGAAATGCTCTAACAAATTCACATTTTAGTAATTAAACCACACCTCCAATAAAAATGTTTCGAAAAGCACCCTATGTGCTCTTCGTGACGCCATAATTTCCACATGTAGTTGTTTTTCAATTTTGCCCGCTCTAAATTACGACACTTTCCGACAGCACCTAAATGCAACAAATCCCACTAATGTTCTGCGTCTGTAGCGATGCTGGATACCCTTCAAATAAGACTGTGCCGCTGTGCCTTTCATATCCCTGCATCTTCGCGCAGACAGCATTAATGCCAAACCAGTTTGCCGCAGACGCATCAAACATGGGGGAAATCCCTCTTTGTATTTGCGTGCTGACGCAAGCAGGCATCAAAAAGATATTTCCACCAAGCGCCGCACCAGCGAGCGGTTCCAACATCTTTTTATATTCAAGGTATTTTATTGCAGCGGAAACCCACTCGGAGCATTTTATTTCCTACATTTACATATGCAACGTGTGGGTCACTGCAAGTGGTTTCCGCTTTTCTAAGCTTTAAAAAGAGCACACACACACACACACACAAACACACACACACAACACACAAACACACATACACACACATATATATTATATATATATATTATATATATATTATATATATATTATATATATATATTATATATATATTATATATTATATATATATTATATATATATATATACTGATTATATACACACACACACACAGTGTTAGTGTTAAAAGGTGTCAGGTGCAAATAAGGAACTGGAAGTGCTGAATTTGTTGTTGTGCTCACACTCTCTTACTGGTCACTGGAAGGCTAACATGGCACATGATGGCAAAGAACTCTCTGAGGATCTGAAAAAAATGAATTGATACTCTACATAAAGATGGCCAAGGCTATAAGATTATTGCCAACACACAGTGGTCAAGACCATACAGTTTAACAGCACAGTTTCCACTCAGAACAAACCTCAACATGGTCGACCAAAGAAGTTGAGTGCACATGCTCAGCGTCATATCCAAAGGTAGTCTTTTGAAAACAGATATATGAGTGCTACCAGCATTGCTGCAGAGGTTGAAGGTGTGGAGGGTCAGCCTGTCAGTCCTCAGACCATACACACTGCATCAAATGGCTATCGTCCCAGAAGGAATCTTTTTCTAAAGATAAGGCACAAGAAAGCCCGCAAACAGTTTGCTGAAGACAAGACGACTAAGGACATGGATTATTTGTGGCCTTATGAGACCAAGACAAACTAAATATTATTCATATGGTGTCAAGGATGTGTGGCGGCAACCAGGTGAGGAGTACAAAGACATTCGTGTAATTTTTTTTTACATTTATGTTCATTAACATGCACTGTTCTAAATAAATAAATAAAGTGTGTCTTGCCTACAGTCAAACATGGTGGTGGAATGTCATTGTTTGGGGCTGCATGACTGCTGCTGGCACTGGGGAACTACAGTTAATTGAGGTAACCATGAATGCCAACATGTACTGTGATATACTCCAGCAGAGCATGATCCCCTTCCTTCAGAAACTGGGCCACACGACAGTATTCCAACATGATAACAATCCCAAATACACCTCCAAAAAGACCAGTGCCTTGCTAAATAAACTGAGGGTAAAGGTATTTGACTGGCCTGGCATCTGTGGGGCATCCTCAAATGGAAGGTGGAGGAGCGCAAGGTCTCTAACCCATGATGTAATGAACTCCATGCCCCACAGAGTTAAGGCAGTGTTGGAAGATAATGGTGGCCACTGAAAATATTGACACTTTGGGCACAATTTGGACATTTTCACCTAGGGGTGTACTCACTTTTGTGAGATACTCTGTATGTATATACATATACGTATATATGTTTTTTTTTTAAATGTGTGAATATTGTGCTGAAATAAAATATTCATAATCACCTTTGAAATTTAATAGAAAACTGGCAGCATAAAAAAAGATCAGATTTTATCTACAAGCAGCCAAGCAGTACCCAAACTGTTTGGCTTTTTTTTTTTTTTTAAATCTGATTTTGCACTTAAAACATTGACTTTTTTGGGTGTCAATTCTAACTTTATCAACATTTGATAAAGTTTGAAACATATTTTACACCTGCACAAAAAAAACAGCTCAAAAAATGTCCATATTTATCCAAATAAAACATTAAAGTCTATACATCCATTAGTCACTGAGCTCCTCCTCATCACTGAAGTATGCGCTCTTTTTGATCCGTGGCTTCTTGGAGTCTGACGACGTTGAAGCGTGAGCATTATCCTCTGCCAGCCTCTTCTGTTTTTTCTGTTCTTCTTCAATACAGGCTTGCTGGAGGGCAACAAATAGACAACAAATATGTCAGTGCTGACAGTTTTTCATTTATTTTGAGTCAGACTTTCCATAATGTAACTTTGCAACTCATAATGCAATCCTCTGAATCAAAACCTCTAGATATTTTTAGGTAGATATTTCTTGTCTCTGCACCCTTACCTGAAAAGCTATGGCTTGGCTTAGGCTATCTAAAGCTGGGTCTTCTCCCTCTTCCTCACTTTCTTCTTCTTCTTCTTCTTCGCTAAAAGTAAAAAAAATAAAATAAATAAAAATGTAGATGTACTGTGATATATTCTGTTGCACAAATATATATGTCACAAATTACATACGTTTGCTCGGGCTGTTGAGCCTTTTTCTTCTTTTTCTTTTCTTTCTTCTTCGGAGGTTCCCTCTCTCCCAGCATGTTTTTGGGACATGCGTAGCTCAAATGTCCGGAATCCTGACATGTGCCATTGTGAAAATACAGGAAAACTATCACAATTGCATTTCTAACTTTAGTTAGAAATGTAGTTAGCCACACAGGACCTCCCCAAAAAAGTAGATATTTACTGACCCCACATTCGTAGCATCTACTTTTGTCTGTGTAGTTCCGTCTCCTTATAAATTCTGCTGCTCGTCCATTATCTATGGCAATACTGGCTTTAACCGTTCTGCCAAATAACTGGGAGGCAAAAATATTTCACTCGCTCGCATCCATTACAGAAACATCGCTGGCAGAAAGCCTCTGGGTTACGCTTAGTGAAAAATCAGTATATAACCTTGCACAGGCTCACCTGTTTGTTGTTCACTGCTTTTGCACAGTTATGAGCAGACTCTCTATCCAGGAAGAGAACAAACGCCACTCCTTTACTCTGCCGAGTGTTTTTATCCTTAACCACCGTGACCCTGAGAGAAACCATCATAGTTATTAATACCTGTGAGGAAACGACTGAGGCAGTAACTGTTACATCGCTTCAAAGCTACCAAATTATCGCATTGTGTTGCATCATTCATTGCTTTAAATGTATAAAATAACATAAAAAAAATACTTACTTTACAACTTTGCCATATTTGCTGAATAGCTGAAATGACACACAGTGATTTATTTCAGTGAGAGGTTCTTGGAATGCATAGAAAAACTGGTGTGCTAGGTAAGATAAAAACATCTGGATGACAACGTTGGGGAATAATCATATGACCATTTCTATGATAAAGTAATACCTGTTTAACACATCTACACATCAGACATAGCATTATGTTTACCTCCCTAATATTGCCTGGTCCTCCTTTTTTGCCAAAACAGCCATGGTGACCTATCAAGCCATGAACTCCACTAGATCCCTGAAGGCGTGCTGTGGTATCTAGCACCAAGACGTTAGCAACAGAACCTTTAAGTCCTGTAAGTTGCGAGGTGGAGCTTCCATGGATCAGATTTGTTTGTCCAGCAGATCCCACTTGACACTTGATTACATTGAGATCTGTGGAATTTGGAGGCCAACTCCTCAAAGCATTTCTTAACCATTTTTGCTTTATGGCAGAGCGCATTATCCTGCTGAAAGAGGCCACAGCTATGAAGGAATACAATTTCCATGAAAGGGTGCACATGATCTGCAACAATGCTTAGGTAGGTGTCAAAGGAACATCCACATGGATGGTAAGACCCAAGAGGTCCCAGCAGAAATCTCTGTCAGCTTGGCTTCTTTTCATAGTGCATCCTGATGCCAGGTGTTTCCCTGGTAACAAACACAGACCAGACCATCTTCTTCCATTGCTCCATGGTCCAGTTCTGATGCTCACATCGCCATTGTTGGCGCTTTCTGTGATAAACAGGTCAGCCTGGACACCCTGACTGGTCTGGGGCTGTGCAGCCCCATAGGCAACAACGTGTGATGCTCTGTGTATTCTGACACAATTCAGAACCAGCATGAACTGTTTTGGCAGTTTGAGCTACAGCAGCTCATCTGTTAGGTCAGACCACACAGATCAGGCTTCACTTTTCACGTCCATCAGTGAGCCTTGGCCACCCATGACCCCGTCACTGGTTCACCACTGTTCATCACTGTCCACCACTATCTTGAACTACTTTTGATAGATTATCCAAGTGTAGGATTCACTAGAGAATCTAATGAAGATGTTCCCAAACTAAAGCTCGGAATTCACAGCACGCTGTAAAACATGGGTGATGGCTGAGTATGCATGGCTTCCAGTAGCAATGGGTGACAGAAGATAGAAAGACCTGGATGAATTCTGAAGAGTACAGAGATAAACTTGACAAAGTGACATCCTCAAGCCCATGCCGAATTTGAGGATGGCACTTTGCACTAAATCTGAAATGTAACCCAAAATATAATGTGCATGCAATCCAGGAATTTTTGAAGGCCGAATAATCTGCCTGAGCCAATCAATTAATCTCACCTGAGCATGTACTTTGCTGGCAACAAACCCAAATAGAAAGACCCTCGAACATATGACCGAAGAGAGAGGTGGGGTGTGCCACGAAGGAAGTTAAACTGAAAGCCAAGCTTTCTTTGCTTAAGCCTCTTGACAAAACCTAAAATCCCAGTCAGAGATCACAGGTGTCACAACTGTGGTTATTAACTTTCTCTGTTAAGTCAGGCTTTCTGCTTCAGGCTTTTTATGTGCTTACATAAAAGGAGAGTTGATATATCATGTGGCTCATCTTCAGTTAATTCCAAATGCTTCATTTATAGACATTATCTGAGGAACAAGTGAGAAACTTCTATAAAGAAATTTAAAGAATAAAACTAGAAAAAGGCATCAGCTGTGTGCAAATAAGTCGAGAGCAAATGCTACAGAAGATCATTTATCTTAATCTCATACATTAATATATTGGTTCTACCACCATGTGCACTCTCAGTGCTGCTGTTTATTTCTAATGTAAAAGCTGCACGTTCGAGCTCTGAAACTTTAAACTCGATCAACTGACACTGTCCTACAGCTTAATGATGGGGATGTGGAAGTCACTTTTCTTTGTGGCCAGATCAAAGTGAAATATTCTTGGTAATTAAAAATATCAGATCATTAATGTATAAAACAAATTCCTTAGACTCTATATCATACTTGTAGAAAATTAAAAAAAATCAAAAGTATTAATAAAAATATACCACATACAGCCCATTTTAAAACTAAAGTCAGAAAATAACATACTCTAGACCACGCTCACACACGACCATGTGTTTAATTTAGTTCCCATGGTGATCTAAGCAGGCAAAAAGAAAATGCATGGCAAAGCATCACAAAATAGGAAACCCAATTTTTGGTGATGTCCATGACTTTAAATGTCAGGCAGTCATTGCTTGAAAACTATTTCGTGAAGTGAAGCGTTTATGTATCTTCTTGTTCTCTTGACTGCTCCCTTTATGAGGTCGCCACAGTGGATTATTAGGTTCCATCTCACCCTATCACTAGCATCCTGCTCTGCATAATCTTTTTCACAATTTTGATGAATCTTCTCTGGTTGACCTCGGGTATTTAAATCATTCACATTTACTACCTCTATCCTGCACCTTCACTGCTAGGCCTGTCTCCCTTCACACGTATTCTGTCTTGCTTTTACTGACAGACTTTCATTCCTGTTACATCCAGGTTTTCTTCCATCTGCTCCCTACTCTCACTACAGATCACAATGTCCTCTGCTAACATCATAACCCACGGAGACTCCTGCCTGACCTCATCTGCCTGGCGAGCCCTAATGTAATCCCTACCACATACCTCACCACTGTCTCTCTGTCCTTATGCATGTCCTGCAACCAAGCACTCATCCTACTCTGCCCCTTGTGACTTCCTCATGCAGTATCACAGTTCATATCACATGCTTTCTTCAAAACCACTATGCAACTCCTTCTGACCTTCTCTGTACTTCTAAAAAAATACTCTCAAAGAATCCGCCGCGTTTTTAGGGTTTTTTCTTGGCATGAAGCCATACTGCTGCTCACTGATGGTCACCTCTCTTCTTAACCTTCTGTTCAACAACTCTTGAAGATCCAGAGCCCCAGAAACAGGAGCATAAAATAGCTGCAGTTCCTAGACGCCTTTGTCTCGCTCTGTCAGTCTGCACCATGGCAGCTGTGGCTACAACTGTAGCTTGCCTCCACCAGTGTGTGAATGTGAGAGTGAATGAATAGTAGAATTGTAAAGCGCTTTGAGGGCCCCCGAAAAGCGCTATATAAATGCAATCCACTGTCCAATCCCTTGAATGAAAGCTGAAAATCTTTACAACATTTGCTCTTATTTTTTTAATTTCAAGTTTGTGGTGATGGCACAGGACAAACACTTAAGGGTTACAGAGACAAACTTACCTTGTGTAGGTCATTGTTGGTGAGAGAGAATGGCAGGTTCGACACATAGACGGTACTTTTGCTTGGTGCCAAACCCCCGCTCATACTGGACTCAAATAAAACACTCTGAAAGACACATGATGGTCATAAAGCACACAACCAGCAGTTCAGCTTAATACATCCACTATAAACACAGCATTATTCAATTTAACGTTAATTCGAGCAATTGCCTACCTTCACAGTAGTTCTTACCAACACCACACCGTCCGTTAGAATAATGCCAAAGCTGTTAAAAAATATGGTGTGTAATTTTGTTTACACGGAGCAGTTGTTCAGCAAACGGGGAAAAACGCCGTATATTGTGCGTCGCACGTTGATGACGTGAACAACGTAAATAACGACCGTAACTACCGGGAGAAGCTAAGCTAACTGGGCGACAGAGGAAAGTAAGCTCGGTTTGTTATTTTTCAGTTAAATTATTTACCTCTATAGTTTATGTAGATGAAGCCGCAATCTGACGTACATATCAAAGGATTTTGTTGGTGGCCTTAACGATATATTAACTTACTACACAAGCGTGCTGGTGTTTGGTGCATGCATTGAAGCTAGCTAGTTAGCCGTGATAGCAGCCTGGTTTACATCGCAATCAGTTGTAAATTTACCACAAAGAGTAGTGATGATTTATTAATGATAGTGTTTAGTTGCCATCAAGCTGATGGCTATATTGACTAAGTTACTGTGGATCAAATGTACTTTAACATGTCACGTTAGGTCAGTCTTCTTCTTTTGGCTGCTCCCTTTGGGGGTCTCCACAGTGAATCATCTGCCTTCATCTTACTTTATCATTAGCATTCTCCTCTGTGACACCAACCCTCCACGTCCTCCTCAACTACATTCATGAATCTTCTCTGTGGTCTTCTTCTTTTACTCCCACCTGGCAGCTCCATTTTCCACATCCTTTGTCCAATATATCCACTATCCTTCCTCTGTACATGTCCAAAAATCTCTGCCTTGCCTCTAACTTTGAGAGCTATCCCTCTGATGTACTCATTTCTAATCCTGGCCAGCCTGGTTACTCCCAATGAAGATCCTAACACTTTCAACTCTGTCACCTTCAGCTCAGTCTCTTGTCTTTTTGTCAATGCCCCCCATCTCCAAACCACACATGACATCGGTTCTCACAACCATCTCTTTTCACTCTTGCTGCTGTTCTTCTATCACAAATCACCCCTGACATTCATCTCCACCCACTCCAACCTGCATGCACTCTCTTTTTCACCTCCACATTAGGTCATACAACCTGCACAAAGTAATCTCAGCTTGCTCACTTGCATTTCACACCGTGCCCTGTCTTGTCTTTGATGTTTTCTGCTGATGTCTGCTCTGAAGTCTTAACACTTTATATGAACTTTCTTTACAGATTGTTTTGAAGATCTTACGTTTCGAGAAGCCCAAAAAGCAAAAAAAAAAATTTTTTTAAATAAATAAAACAAACAAAAAAGTAAGTTATTAACAAACAATAGACACTAAACACTAACATACTAGAGAACACTGATGTGATACTAGTTTAGGGAGATCATATCAGAATCAGATCAGAATTGTGTTTATTGGCCAAGTATATGTGCAGACACATACAAGGAATTCGGTTCTGGTAGATGGAGGCTCTCAAGCACTGCAATGTAAATCACACGCACACATAAACACACACACACACACGTGTCTATATATACATTACACATGCATACAAGTACATACACAAAGCTGTGTAAACCAACTATAAATAACCAATCTAAACTTATATACATAGAATACAGAAATGAAGTGGAATGAATACTACAGAATGTACATAAGGTGCAGTTGCAGTCTGGCAGTGGGAGCAGTGTGACAGGTCAACTGTTTAGAAGGGAGATGGTGAGGGGAAAGAAACTGTTCCTATGTCGGGTGGTCCTGGTCTGGAGGCTTCTGTACCGTCTGCCCGAGGGCAGCAGATCAAAAAGTCTGTGTCCAGGGTGTGAGGGGTCTGTGATGATTTTCCCTGCACGTTTCCTGGTTCTTGAGAGGTACAGATCCTGGATGGAGGACAGGGGGGCGCCAATGACCCTTTCTGCTGCCCGTACAGTCCTGTCCTGTTTAGTGGCTGCACCATACCAGACTGTGATGGAGGAGCACAGGACAGACTCAATGACCGCAGTGTAGAACTGGATCAGCAGCTCCTGTGCAATCTGTGCATATGTAGAACCTCTACCAATATTCAAAACATTTTATGTATTAGACAAGTTCTTTTTGCAAAAGCTGCTTTTGTGTTGAAGCCTGCACATGTGTGAGGCTAAAAAGGTGCTTCACTTCAGACAGTTTCAGATGAAATATTAGGAAACCACAAGATTCAAGGCATCTAAATAGAACAATGTCATCTGTGTTGGCCCTCAATTTCATGTCAGATGGCTTCTGAGAAAAAGTTCTATTTAATACTATATTAATATTGCAGCTCGAAGAAGCTAGTCCGACCACACTTGAACAGAGATAGTGCTAGTGATAACAGTATGTTTCACTCTTTGCCCGTTTCAGTGACTTACAGGCGAGAAAGGAGTATACGGGAGGTGTATGATGAGCGCTTTTTAACAGACAGGCCGGTGAGCTCCTCTTTATCACTGCATCCCATTTAATAATTCTCACATGCAAATTATGCCTTATTACTTTTCTTTATTTATCCCTTGACAATTGCTGATTTTTAATTTTAATTATTTTTATTTTTATTTTTTTGTGGATGGAGAGTGAATAATAAAATAACACCAGGAATCTTTTTAAAGATTTATTTTCAAGTTGCCATAAGCTCTGGCTCAGACTTTTCTTTCACAAAATCTGAGCAAGAATAAAAAAAAAACATATATAATTTTTTTAAAAAGGTATATGTGTGTGTGTGTGTGTGTATAGGGTCCATACCCACGGGCGGCTGGAGGGGTTGAGCGACGAGGCCCCTTTGGGAGGCCAGAAGATGACTACAGCCGTGGTGGCTATGATTATGAAGGAGGTCCCCGCTTTTACCCAAATGGAGGCGGACCCCGGGGTTACCATGAAGATCAGAGAGGTTACCATGGAGATGGCCCTCATTTCCCTGCTGAACGCAGAGCCATTCCACCTTCAAGGAGGGTAAGAGGGTTTTTTTTGGTATGTTGTAATCAAATAGGTGAACTACATATTTTCAGTCAAAAGTCTCTACAGTTTAGATATTTCCCATAATATTGTAAGTTTAAGGAGCCAATCCAAGGACAAAGTAGTTAACAATATAATTTAAGATAATTTGAAACGTATATGTACTATAGGCATCTATTGAACTCTTCTTCTTAGACTTTTAAATTCCCTTTATAGGGATTGTGCTCTTTAATTTTTCTGCTTTTCCCCCCTATATTACTCTTTAGAGTTTGTGTTTACATTTGAGTTCTAAAATTGTAAATGTATCTATCCGTCATTTCAGCTAGTTTGTCATTTGTCACTTATCAGTGGGTTATGTATGCAAAATTAAATACAATGCTTTTTGTCATTTTACAGTATTTTTAACCAGATACTGAGTTTTTTCTGTCTTAAGAGATAACAAATAATATAGAAGTGGCGAATAAGAATGATTTTTTTTTCTTCACATTTTCTTTGTCGTGTAGGAGGACTATCCTTACAGAGTACCCAGGGATGACTCCCACACAGCGCGGCCTTTGGAGTTTGGGTAAACTGTTTGTCTTAAGATTTGTTTTAATATTAGCCTTATCAGCCACATTCTGTATGCATACAGTATTCCATCCATCTTCTTCTGCTTAATCTTATCAGGGTCGCAGTGGGACTGGAGAATATCTCAGTTAACATAGGGCGAGAGACAGGATACACCCTGGACAGGTCGCCAATCTGACACAGTGCTAACACAGAGAGAGACAGACAACCATTCGCACTCACATTCACAGCTATGGGCAATTTAGAGACACCAGTTAACGTAGCCCCACTAATGTGTTCTTGGACTGTGGAAGGAAGCCAGAGTACCCGGCTTCCTCCCACACACAAACACGGGGAGAACATGCAAATTCCACACAGAAAGGCCCCGGCCAGATGGTGGATTTAGACTGTTGCTTATTAAAATGTTTTCATTTTGGACAGCAGGGGACAGTCTTGTTCTATTCACTTGATGTTATAAGGAAGTCATTTGTGTTTAGTTTCTCTGGTTGGACTTGGGGGGGATTTAGGGGGGGATGTGTTTGTAATGTTTGTGTACATACCAGCAATCACAAGTCGTGGTCTGTTTGTGACCCATATTGGCCTGTCTTACTTCATTTCCTTTTCTTGTGGTCTCTGCTGAGCTCTCCAGACTCTTAGTTTACACAACTGTTGGTCTAGCAATGTTGGCTAAACAGTGTCTATATTTAGGCTAAACACTAGGTTTGCAGACATTTAGGTGACAAGTTTACAATATTCTCTCAAAATACTGGTTCAATTCAGTGTGATTTTTGTCTGTTAATAGACAAAGGCACCACAAATTAGCTGTAAATAACATTAACAAATATGAGTCAAAATTAATTTTACCTGTGTGTAATGCTGATGTGTGATAATAGCACATTAAATAGTACTAGGTAGCCTATTTGAACATTATTAAGAATATTTTAATATCGGGGTACAATTAGTGCGCTAAAGTTTAGTAAAACCCTCAATGTTGCATTTGCATTGTGCATATTTCATTATTAAAAATGACAATAAGGTTTGCCAGTTATATCTGTGCTCCTTTGCTATTGCCAAAATAAAAAATATATATGCAGTTCATGTTACCTAACTGATGAGTCTGCAGTGTTATGACTTTAACAACAAAGAGCGGAGGTAACTGCATGTCTATGTTACAATTTGTTTACTTTGTGAAAAGTTGAAGGATTAGCTTTAATTAGTTTAATCCTCCCTGACACTGAGATGTGGTAAGAGACCTGTAGGTATTATGTCGTCACACATGGGTGCATTTTGAAAATGCGCTGTTTGTACAGTAGCAAAATTTATGAACAGTACTTGGGTATAAAGTGTACTCACTGGATAGACCAATCTAGGCAGGCAGAGAGAGAAGAGGGGAAGGTTGAGAGTGATTTTGTTTTCATAGCTGCGTCGGATGCATGGTTGTTTAAGTTGTCTAAAATTCTTGACAAAAGGACAAAACATGTTTTTTCCCATTTTAGGGTTTTGTTATTGCAAAGCAAATATCCTGTATTGCACAGGATGAGCACGCAAAGCGCTTTATATAACATGTCTCATTCATCCATTCATACCCAGTCATGCAAGCATTTTTGTCTGAGGTAAACTGTTTTCTATCTAACATTCACACACATTCATACTCTGATCAGTGCATCAGTGAGCAACTTGGGGTTAGTATCTTGCCCAAGGATATTTGGCATGCAGACTGGGGCAGACAGAGACCAAACCACCAGGCTTCCAACCTGCTCTATCTCCTGGACTAAAGCCACCCTTAATACTCCTTCTAGTGTAGCCTTAGACCATTTGGATGTTAATGCTGTTTCCTGTCATGTTTTAGATACACAATATATCTCCTTAATAGTTCGTTACACAACTGATACTAAGAAAAATGCTGCCCTTTATCTTTAGCCAGAAAGCATGTGTCCAGTCAACCTGTTTGAAGTAAGGCTTGGATTTGTGGCTGTTGAAAGAGCTCTGTCTCATGTGGTCACTTAGCAGATGTGAATTCCTTTTTGAAGATTTGTGCTTCAGTGAGAAATTCACTTTGTGGCTACGCCGTAACTGTGTCATACACCCTTCTGAACCGTAGCCTGACATGCACCTCCCTAGAATTGTACACATTGGGGTTGATCTGCTCAATACCATTGATTTCTCCTATACATCTCCAGCTACTGTTTTGCTGCAGCTTTTTTAATTGAATATATCAGAGAGAGTAACAATCATCACCTCATTATAGGTAATAACAATCATAGCGTCAATTAAGTACTCACAAATGTCAGTACATTTCTGAAGAGAGATTGCAGGATGGAGATGACGAATGTTCAAAGAAGTGGAAAATCTTGAGGGACAAACATGTTTGCTCCACTGAAAAATAAAACTGACCACAACAAAGACTGAAGAACCAGGAGGGGGAAAAGTCCTACCATTTTATTTGTTTTTTTCATGGTTGACACCACATATAAAACACAGAGACAACACACTATCACATAATGTTCAGCACACAAGCATAGATGCCAGCAACACCGTCGGCCACTTACAGAGGTTGTGTTATAGGCTCTACAAAATTTCCCCAAAGAAATCTAAATAAACACAATGTACTACACTGTGTGCTTATCTGCAAACACTAACTTGTGTGTGCGTCTCTTTTATTTTTTGTTAATCCCCTCAGTGCCCGTGCACCCCCTCCTCATAGCGTTAGAGGCCAAGGCATCTATCCAGCACCCAGAGCGCTCCCAGAGAGTGGGGAAGACACACTAGTACAGGCCATACTAAACCTGGACAGAGGGTAAGAGTGAATTCCTGTTAATGACTTTGTATGGCAGACCATGTCAAGCCAATAAAGAAATGTCTTAATTTATTATATATAGCACCTACATTTTTAACCTCGTAAGACCCGAACTCTTTCATGCATTTTTAATTTCTCTTTGCTATTTGGGCTAATTGGGACCTGATGAATGTAAAAACAAATAATTACCAGATTTTTTTATTTTTCTTTTTACCTGATTTTTGTGTCTGAGGAAAATGAGGTCCGCATATGAGGACATTCGTTTTAAATTTTGATAGAACTGTGGCAGTATAATGTCCTCGTAAGTATATATCAGGCCCTGTAGAGCAAAACTAATCGGCGTTTGCCAAGGGTATTTTGGTCTAGACAACCCAAAAATGTGATGTCCACATATGTGGACGCCAGGTCCTAGGAGGTTAAAGCACCTGTCATAAAAACAAAAAAAGCACAGTTGTATTTTAGATATCAGTCAACTTGTTTAAAACTGAAAATTAATGCTCATACTGTAAATGATGGTCCTCATTAGGATAAAAAAAAAGGAAGTTAAAGCAAGGTGCACTGTCCCTCACTTTCTGGGTCAGGTCCACCCCCTTCTCATCATATCTGGTTTCAGAACAGCAAGATGCTCATGGTGAAAACTCACTTTGAAGCGTCAAACATTACTAACCTAAATGGGTGGTTACATCCTGCCTGAGGTGCCACCATCGTCTGACTGTGCAGCTGTTTCGTTGCAGATAGGTGAAGTTACAGTCAGAGAGGGAGTGTTTGATTAGCAACAACAGCTACTGTGATCGTTGAATGAAAATGTTTGGGATGCACGTTTTAAAATATTAAAGGGAACAATAGTGTTCAAGTCAAAAGGGCAGTTTTTGTGGTCTTTTGGGGAAATTATGGTTTTAAAAAGCCTCTCCACAAATAACTCTGCAAACGGATATGGGTAGCATAAATAAAACATAAAACAGGAATTTGTTGCACACAGCAGAATGACCTTACAGTGCTAGGTGGCAGCATTGTTCTGTGTTGGTACATAAATGAGTGAGAGAGGTGGACCCGTCATTGGGCCGATGTAAATTGCTGCTATTAGATTGCAATCAGGAATAACTTTAACCTCAGATAATTCACAAAAAAGAAAAAGAAAAAGCTATCAATGTTTGGACCTTTCAGATTTTGGCAGGGCTCACATTTCCCCTGTTTTCCCCAGGGAGGACAGAGACCACTACAGGAGAAAGGCAGCCCCATTTCCTCCCCTCAGAGATCGTTCTCCCGTGCGGCGAGAGGTGGCCCGCTCCCCGCACAGCCGCTCTGGCTCCAGCGTCAGCAGCAGAGGATACTCACCGGACAGAGCCAAGAGCCTTCCTTTCCCCTCACAGCAAGGCAAGAGTATGTAGAAATCTTAGATTCCCGCCCCCTGATGCAGTATGCAGTGCTTTTACTGGCATCACAATATTGATAAGAGTTTAAAACTCCAAAGCAAATCACCATAACATGTGGAATTAACTTAATAAGTCGGTAACACAGATTAATACAATATAAATTCAATAAAGTGGCACAGCATTAATAAATACTAAAGTATAAAGGTAATTAGTTCTGGTCTTAACAATCCAGCTGATGGAACAAATTATGTAACAGCACTGCTAAAATGGAGTGGAAAGTGTAGTCACTGCTTCCACTGACAAGTTCTACTCATAAGCCATTTGTTGCCTTAACTCAGGAAGAGGAGACACAGCCTCTGAGTAAACATCGTTCATTTGGAAAGCTAAATTTTATACTAACTATCCAGAGCACAAAAGTAAATAAGGTAATCTGTGTATGCCTGTAGGCCCTGATTCAAGGTCATGTTTTAAGTTCAGCTCCTAAAATGTGCATTGTTCTGAAATGGATTATATATTTTTTTTCTTCCATCCTTCATTTCTTATTTTACTGTTATTCACTGTCTGTCCATGGCTGTTAACCTGGCTGACCGGCTTTTCAGGTGTGGATGGTCCAGAGGGTCACACGGGTGTTTCTGAGCACCTCTGGGGGGCACTCTTTCCTCAACAGAGTGGACATGACACTTTGGGTCTGTACATTGAGCTATGTAAATAAGCTTAGACTTGGGTGACAGTAAGCTGGGTTGTTGTTCCTTTCTTGCATCCTTGTCATTTTGTGTTCTGTCTTGAGAAGGATGCAGGAACAGAAGACTTCAGGCTTTTTAAATTTCAGTGACTTGAGAGTCGACCCGCCTCTCAAAAGAAAAAGTATTTTACAAAGGAAACTTTTTGACACAGACATTTTTTTCACCCAGGTCTTTTGTAAGTTATATCATGAAAGTAGTTTCTGAATTAGAGTTTAGTACAGACTGCTGTATTGTGGTAAATGCCATTTCCACTACCCGAGGTACATTAGCACTTTTCATGGTTCCTGCACTTTTATAAAGTAATGTTAAAAATGATTTAAAATGTCAGAGGTGTTCTGATTGAACACATTTTCATCACAGATATATTATTTAGTGTTATATTACACTTTAATGACTACAAATACATCTTGTCTGGAAATACATTTGATAAGATGACTCTGTGTGGGAACAGTGAATTTTACAGCTTATCTAGAAAGTGGCTGAATAATGTAAGAGCATCATGGATTGCTCTTTGTTTTTTCAGTCCCAACCTCTCACTTGGAATGTTATGGAAAACCAAGTCCACATAATAGATTTCCTGTAAGACCACCAAAAATTATTAAATAACTGTACTGTAAAATGCACAAGTGCTAAAGTATCTCCGTGTGCGGTGCATGTTCTTTATTCATTCTTGTCTCTAATCCCTCAAATTCCCCTGTTTCCACCAGTGTTTGTTTTTCTTTTGGGGGGAGGTTGGTTTTGTTTCTTTTGACGTCCACTGCCATCTTCAATGCCGGTCATTTTTCTTTTAAATTTCCATTTGATTGGCGCTTTTTCACTCATGAAGTGAGTGCTTAGCAGTTTTCATGGCTAACATGGCAAAATGTTGCCATCTGAATGCATGATTTGAACGGGTTTTAAGAGTAAATATTTTTAGGGAAGCATTAGAGTAGTCGTATGCTCCATAGGTTGCTTTTAGATAAGAAAACCCCATCAATTGTGATGTACTTGGCCGGTGACCTTACGGTTTGGTCTTCCAACAGGGTATGAAGAGACTTATTCTCAGAGCAGGATGTTCGGTAAGTACAGTTCAGTATAGCCGTCTAAGACTGGATAGACTACGTCTTGTTTGATGAGTTAATAGACAAATTAGCCACTTCTCCTGGATTATATTTCAAAATGTATAGCCATGCATTCCTTTGTTTGTTCAGTGGTAATGAATTAAAAAGTAAGATGAGATGACATGCAGAGGATTTGTTTCAGATATATTGAAAAGTTACAGTTGTCAAACCTAATCTATTCACAGTCTGCGTAACCTGAGAGAGACAGAGAGGGTTTCTAATGTCTCCAGCAGCCAGCTTTGCTCTCCGTTCTGTCTGCCACTTTGTCAGGCCTCATAAAGATGCCACCAGGTCGTGTGTGCAAGTAGAGGGGAGAGGGTATAGGATGTCTGATGGATATTCCTGAAGCCAAAGCTGCCACTCCGGAGTGTTTTTTGTTTCATTTTTAGGTGCTTGAAGTTTGTTAGTAGAGTTGATTACAAGGCTTTGGACAGCATAGTGTTTTTCTTATAGAAGGAAAGTCAGTAGAGGAAGAAACTCCTCCAGTGACTGGAGAGGAGCCGTGCATTCAGCCAATGAGATTCAGAGCACCGTTGTGTTTCTTGATTGTTCCAGGCCTTCTAGTATAGGTACCTCACTGGATCCTGGAACCAGACTTCCAACACATTTACAAGACTGCGATCTCCATAAGCACCCCCATACTTACTTTCCAGACCGACTTGCTTGTCTTCTTTCAGTTGAATTTCTGCTTCCCTTGTCGTTTCACCTTTTTCTCATTTCTTATTTTGTTATTCCAAATATCTTTTTTTACTCGAACTTCAGTCTTACTGTTTTTTTTTGTTACTTTTCAATTTCTATAGACAAAATTCCTGGCCTGTCAAGAGAGGGATCCCCACAGAGTGCAACATCTGTCAAGGTACTGTTTTTCTTGAGGTTTTCATGAAGGATCAAAAACATTAAAGGGTTTTTCTAAATTGTGTTGTTTTTTTAAAAAAATGTTGTAAGTACAGCAGTGGAGTCTCAGATGTTCTGTGCTTTATTTTGTTTGCATACCATGGTGTCTGCCTATGTCACTGTACAGCAGGATACATCTGGAAGTCCTTAAATTCCATCCTCCTAATAAGTGTTGAGTCCCATCAAAGTATGTTAATGGGTTTTAAAGTGGTCCTCATGCAGGGCATAAAAGCCATCGGGCCTCCACTTTGTTTAACTTTGTTGTAAGCGGACTTCAGTTACAAGAATTTGTAATGATACGGGGGAAAGGGTTCAGGTGTCAACAAAAAAAAAACAACTTTTTGTGTCAAATGTGGATATTTCTTGATTGTTTTGCTGATAATGTTTTGTTTTGCTGATGTCATCCATCTCCAACTATGCAGAGGAGTGTAAATACAATCAGTTGTGATTAGGCGCAGTACATGTGGCTGTGGCCACCCAGAAGTGTAGAGGAGAAATCAGTAGCCTGGGTCACAACTTTATCACAAGATCGTAACCACAGAGTCATAAGAAGTGCCGTGTAACTCTGGGATGTATTTACACTGTTTATAACGAACAATAGTTTACTTTTACTTTTAAAGAGCACGTCTAACTGCGTTTGGCAGGCCCTCAGTTTCCTGTTGATGACGCAGGGAATGGGTCTCGTGATTGTGACAAATTAATATGGGGCATCGGGCTCACAGGGAATCGGTATTTATCAAGATTCAGGTCAACACCTTGTGTGTGTTTGCATGCTCTGGCAACTTAAAAAGGTTTTGCTATTATAGCTGATTGTGTGAGGGTTAAAAATACTTTGTACCAAAGTAATGACATTACCTCTTCTAAATGGAGTCTCTGTATGCATGTATGCCAGCAACTGTTTATCTGGATGTCAAAATGATCCCATAATCAAGTTGGGTTTTTTTTTTGGTAAAATAGAAACATTTCTTTTTTTAAATATCACAGTTTTAGTCATGGCCCTTAAATATACACAAAATAAAGTAATTGGGTTAAGTGATATATATCCATATCAGATATTTGACACCTCAGCAAGCTCTGCTCTGAAAACCTTTTAACAACAATAATCTTTTCCCTAACATGAAACAGGAAATAATTAAACGATCAAGGACCTGTGCAGTGCACGAAGCTTTTATCACTGCCCTATTTATTATTCAGTCAGCACAGTTAAAAGTTCCACAGTTTTACTGTCTAGACACGCTACAACCATTCAGTTGACTAATGTATGTTATTAGCCTAATGTTCCCGTTTTCTACACACACAAACACAGCTTTAAAGAGTTATTAGGACTAAAAAAGTCAAAATAAAGAGCTTGGCAAATGTTAATACCGTTAACCTTCAGTTATCCAGCTCATATTCGTCCACTTATTTTTCCCCAAGTATGGTGGACTAAATTGCTCACCGTTTTGTTCCTCTCCTCACACCAACAATAGTGTATCTGAAGTGATCTGTTAACCCCTCAGCAGCTCTGGGTTCATCTACCTTTTATGTGCAGCTTAAGATACATGTATGTAGTTTTTACCAAAGGGTGCACAGAGTTCAGCTGTTTGGAAGAAAGATGATTTCTTTTATGTTTTGTTATGTTTCAGAATGTTAGGAGTCAGTATTGCAGCGGATCTCATCCTGCTGTGGCTCTACGTTGTTGCTTTCCTGCCTTCACACATCAAAAAGGGGTCGTGCACAATGTACACAAATGATGCATTTACTTTCTGTGATAAATATTTAGTGATTGCTCAATCTGGAAAAAAAAACAAATTTTTATCAGCTTCACTGCTTTGAAAATGACAAACTTAAACTTTATTGCTGACAAGCGTTTATGGCTTGTACATGTGAAGAATTTAGACATAAATTCACCTTGCCATTTCAAGTGCTGGACACACTTGATTCAGCTGGCAAAGCCAACCATTACAGGCAAGCAGGGCTCAATTTTTCGTACAAATTCCCAGTGGAGGCGATGTCGTCACGTGAGCTGAGTAACAAATAACCAGACAGTCACCCTCGGGTTTATACACGAGAAATTACAAGATGCAGCATATAAACAAAGTTCTTTCTTCTCCTTCTAATGATCATTTTTGTCAGAACCACCTACCACCACCAAATCAACTGCTGTGATGAAAGTTACTCAGCGCCCCACCCCTCCACACACACATACATGCACACTGGTGCTTCTGCTGCTGTGTTTGATCTAGCCTGTGGTGCATTGTTGTGTGTTCTCGGGGCACAAACCCATAACCTTGGCCAAGATGAAAGGCCTGTGCTGTGCCCCCAGTAAAGCTTTGCACTAATGGTCCTGGTCACTGCCTGCTGTGGGGATTCAACAAACACATAGGCTTTCTGGAGCCATCCCAGACAGGAGACACCAAAGACGGGACCTAAAGAGCACCACCGGCTCTGGCTTCAAGGCAGGGTGGGCAGGGAGGTCATCGGCAGGTTTCATCTCAACACAACAAATTCCTGCTAGATAGAGTGTAATGGTTTACCAGTAAAGGGCACAGATCTGCTGAAGGAAGCAGGAAAAAGTAATACAAATGCTCAAAGCACTGTTGTAGAGTGGCATTCAGTCACTGTGATATTTTTAGGAATTCTAGCAGCATGCATTCAGGAATGGCAGTGTCATTGGGTTGGCCACTCCACTACTTTAACCTAACAAACAACTGAATATAGCAATGAGAGACTTAGGATGACTGGATGATCAGAGTATGAGCCAGCAGATGAGCGTGCTGCAGTGATCAGAAATGTCATAGCTCTTGAATTTTGGCCTCTAAAGTTTGCTAAGTTTTTTTAAAAAGTCACGTGCAAAAAAAGTCAGACTGCAAAGAGCGAGATCCTGAGGAACTTTGTGATGCTTGCTCAAACTGTAAGCATTTTGAAGAACTAAGCTGTTACATCAGCGTGATGATGTCCAAACTATTACATAGAACAATATTAAGTCCAGTGCTGTTTCTCCATTTTACAGCCAAGAACAAAATTCAGTTCCACTTCTTTGTCAGAGTTTACCCATTCTGCTGAAACAATAATGTTTTGATTTATTACAGTTAACAGAAGATCTATTTTGAGCCTTATCTTGAGAGCAGAGCACGATTTCCAAGTTAGGCTATGCTTTGCGAGTTGAAATAAAGAGACTCAGACAAGGGATATTTTTCTGCTGAGGTGCAGTAGATGCGATCTTTCATACAAGTCCAAGCATATACACGGGACTTCTCCCAAGCATAGCTTCAGGGAGAGTATTGGAAGGAGGAATAATTGGATGATGCTTTGCACTGTGCTTTTTTTATTATTATTATTTTAGACCGCACTCGGCTTTGTGATGTACCATCTCCTGTAATTTCTTTCTAGTCGTCTATGGATGAGGTATGACTTAGTTGCCATGGCCTGTTTCCCTTAATGTATGAGTGGACTTTAGTCATGGTTGGGCAGTTCTGCTCCTTGGCCTTCAAACTTTAATAGTATCAGGAAATGAGCAAAAGAAATTGACCACCCATCCAAGTCGGCCTCATTTCTTCCCTTAGATCTCTCTTGTGGCTTTCTCGGTAGTATTTATGGATGCCTTGGCTTCCAATTTGCCCATTAGATGCTTAATCATGGCTTGTCTGGCTGTGATTTCTTTGCTCTGAAGATTCTGTCTCAAACAGCTAAAATGTGAGTTTTATGGTTTTCCGTGTTATAGATTGGTTCTACTAAACTGCAGGGTTACTGCTTGGGTAGAAAAGCAACATTAATATTAAGCTAAGTTTTGATCTGTAACAAACATTTTAAAATATAGGCTCTAGCTATATTTCGTGCCTCAGGTATAGATTTCTATACTGCAAATTCTGTGTATGTGTTGTTGTTTTTTCCACTGAGTCCACTCTGGCTTTTCAGCTTTACTGTATGCCTCATCAACCACGTCTCCTTCAAAGTTAAAGAGTCAGTAGGTCATGTCGTAGCACAGCATTGACTGTACATCCTTTACAATTCAATGTTGTTTGATTGCTGTAGTAGAGTAGTAGTATGCTTTTTAAAATATTGAATGGTTTTATGATTTCTTGGCATAAATGTTTCATGGCAGTGGTATATACTGTTAGGAATAACCATTCTGCTGCTTTCTTAGTTTTCCTTAAATATCCCTGCAGCTCACACCTTCCTGTTGTTTTCCTTTAGGAGGAAAACCCCCCTCCAGAAGGAGAAAAAGAAGAGCCACTGGTAGCTCCCGTCGTGGAAGAGAGCCAAAAATCTACAGACAATTTTCACGAGCGACGAGCCCTTGCCATCGCAGCCAAAGCCCAGGAAATAGAAAAGGTACTTTTTTCTAATACTTCAAATTTTCACATCATTGCGTTTTTCTGACCCGCCTTTCCACAAGTTCTCTGATTGGGGTGATACAGCATGTTGTCCACTAATCACAGGCCTCATTCTAAAACTCCTGCGTATTTTCCTTGGTCATGACAAGTAATTTGCTCTTGATGGCAGGCAAGAACCTTGCATATCAGCTCTACCAGCAGTTATAGTGTGTGTGTTAATGAGTGAATGTGAAACACATTGTAAAGTACTTTGTAGAAACCTGTGGATAAGTGCAGGCTATTTACAGTTTTCTTGTGCTTCTAGCAAAGAATAAAAGTCAGATTTGGATTTATATCCTATACAGGATTTTAAATTGGTAATCACAATGTATTCCAAGGATGTTTAAACAAATTTGAAGGTGTTCTGTTCTCAGTTGTTCTTTTTGGGAAGGAAAAATCACTGTATGCCCAAACCCTCTCATTAAAAACTACGAATTTGTCAGACTTTTCTATAAATGTCAACTTTGGCAATGCAGACCACATTCAGTACTCTTGGCACCACATTCCCATGCATATGGTGGCCTTGGGTTCTCTGACTCACATGTGGCATGCTTTACTGGATAGGCACTACTGAAACAGCCACCTATTATGTTCGTAACAGGCAGGAAATTAACTTTGCTGTCTTCCAGTCACAATGCTGAGTACCTACTGCTACCCCCTAAAAAACTTCACTGTTGCAGCCACATTTAGAGAAACGGTTAATTATTTAAAAAACGGGAGGCCGGTGTCTGTAGTTGCCAGCATTTTCCTGGTAGCTTCTCTTAATCTTCCATCCTGACTCACTGACTGCATAAACCGCTCATTATACAAAATATCTGCTTAATATCGCACACGGCTCAAGCATGGCCCCCTCGGCGTCTGACTCATCTCTGCAAATGCTCGCGCATGAAGCGATCTGCACACCGGGGTTTAGAAACATTAGAATGATATACAGGGTACAGGGGACACGTAAATGAAGGCAGCAGCTAAGAACGGCTTATTCGCTGTAAAGAGCCGTGCATAAAATAAACCGAGAGGTCGACCGCTTAACAGAGCTTAAAAACACCCCAGGCTCGAGGTTCCAGCTCTGCTCTGTTACCTAATGAAGGCCATTCCTGCACCAGTGAGCACTGCTGGTGGTTTAACTGAGACCATTAAACCTGAGCTAGCTCTGCCCTGGAGCACAGACTGCGCCCTCACATTGAGCTGCAGCACAGAGCCTATAGGCTGTAACAGCATTACTGCTGACGCTGCAGCTTCACGCCTGTTTTATAGCCTGTCTGTGTCTTCTCTCATTTTTTTACAGCAAACTTTATAACGTCTGAGCTATGTGAGCATTATTTCATGTTTCCAGGTATTATGGAAAGTTATTTTAGAATGATTACAAAGACCCGTGTCAGCAATCTGTAGGTACTTTACTGCCATCATCAGTATTACTCATAATTCTCTGCTATCTTCTAATGTGGTGATTCAAATCTAGGTATACATGTATAATAAACAGTTTGAAATGAAAACGAAGAGGGGATAAAGTATTGCGTTTTCACAGGGATATGAGGTTTCAGGATTTCCTTTCAGGATTTGCGATTCTTAGATAACCATCAGTTTCTATTGACAGCTGCAGCTTTTTGTTTTCCCTGTGCCTTTCTCTGGCTTTTGTGATCTTCAGATCGTCCGTATGTGTAGGTCGTTTGCGATTTGGCAGCTCTTCTCCTCTTCCATGAGAGACTAAACTGTTTATCCCAGAGCTAAGGTCAGAAGATGAGTAATTGAATCAAGATTTTTTTCTTCTCACATAAAAGAAGGATCATGGACTGAAATAGAAAAGGCTGTATTTTTAAAGCATCACAGAGAATTGCTTTCACATGATGGTCTTGTGTGGTGACCAGTTTTAACGCCCCATTTTGCTCTGACCCACAGCTAAACATACTTAAGCTGTTCTTTCTTTCTTTCTTTTTTTGGCTCTGAAATAACAAAGTCACTTTCTCATGTGCTCTTTAAATTAGCAGCAGTATTCCTGTTGGTGTGGGCACTCGTGTTAAGCCATTTGACAAGTGTCAGCCAGATGTTTGGCTTTCTGCACCCAATCTGGTCTAGCCATCTCTTCTGTACACACAGCCACAAATGCACAGAATCCAGAAGCCCCTCAGAAGCTATCCAGGTCATAATCTAAACTTTGTTTGCGTGGCTAAGTGAAGTTGGTCTTCTTGACTTATAGTCTGAACCCCCTTTCTGGTTGTCAGAGTTGACTTTGGCCACAGGACAGACTAACCGGTTATAGTGAGTGACAAGGCATGAGAGTCAGTCAAGGGTATTATGTTTTGTTCCTCGTAGGCCCAGATTGCCGTACAAAGGGAGTTTTATTTCATTTGTTGAGGGATCTAAATGTATTTGACAGAAAGCCAGACACTTCCAGCCTCTTGAGGGCTTTTTACGTGCAAAGATGACAGAGCTGGACTGAGGTGCCAACTCTAATGTTTAAAATTTGTTCCGATTCTCTCATTTCTAAAGCCCAGCACGCTCAGGGGCGAGATTTGTAAAAAGGATTTGTCCTGCAGGGGTGAACAGCGAGCAAGATGCTCTTTTTCTCAAACAACCCCACCCAAAGTCGAGACGTGCTCCTTTCCTTCCTGGTTGGATAACGGGACAGATTGCAGGAAGAACTTTGTCAGCACATTGTTTAGAAACAGCTCTCTCTGTATTCACAGAAGGTGTAGACCACTCACTGATTGGATCCTTCCTTCGAACGTTTGATAGGTCCACTCTATTATCAGATGATGAAAAACCAAAAAGGCCATTGCTCTGTAACTACATTCATCGTGCTGGGGATGGTGGCTGTCGCAGGTCTCCTCTCTATACAGACTGCTTGGGTTATCAGTTGTGTAACATCTTCTGCTCAATTGTTTATTGTGCATGAGGAATGTATAGAAATGCCCAGAGGAGACTGTGTTTTTGAATTTGTTTTGTAGTGTTCCCCACAAATCTCCTGTAAAATGATTTATTGAACATTTCCCATCAGCTGCTTTTGTAAACAAGAGACCTGGATAAGGTTGCATAAGCTGTTTGTACTGTAAATCCCTCAGTAGGTTTGTGTATAAAGCTTTAGAAATATCTGAATGGGGTTGGTAGGAAATATGTCCCAATGCTGTCCAATTAAAAATGAGTAATTATGTCAGCCTGAAAACACAACAGTTTTTAGAGCCAAGTAAAATCAAAGTTAACCACTGTTCTTTTCTAATTACAGGTTATTGGTTTGTTATTACAGGTTATCTGTGTGTTTGAGTTGGCACTGCTCCCGTAGTCAATGTGAAATTAAGCTAATCTAAATTAAGTGAAAGTAATTTAGTTTTTTCCTAGTTTACATCATTACTAAACCGCATTTTAGATCAGGTGTAACAAGCATCTCCTGTAGGCTGTGTTTTACTATTCAAGCAAATGTTAAAACAAGCTGCAAACAAGCTAACGTCTTTCAGCTAGCACACCTTCAATAGGAAAAGATTTATTGAGTAAATGCAAATTTACGCCTCTGTCAGTGCGCCCCAGGGTGGCTGTGGCTACATGTAGCTTGCCATCACCAGTGTGTGAATGGGTGGATGACTGAATGTGTAAAGCGCTTTGGGGTCCTTAGGGACTAGTAAAGCGCTATACAAATACAGGCCATTTACCATTTTTAAGTTATCTGTAACAGTCTTGTGTATATCTGCTCTTGAGTCTGTGTTGGGAGACACAGCAAACCTGTCATCCTGGAGGAGTTGGTAATACCTGCAACCACTGTAAGTGCAGGTATCCCCTCACCTCATGCTTGGTTTTACCCTCCACGTTTAAAACCATTCGTCTTTTGGTGGTTGTATCATTTTTTACCCCTCTAGTGCACTGCTGGTTAATTTCATTAACACCAAAGTAGCTGACAATGATTAAGAGCCCCCTCTGCTACTTAACTGACCAGATCAATATCCCAGAAGTCTAAGTGACTTGATGCTATACTGATTAAAAAGTGCTCCTTTAATTTTTTTTTTATTTGAGCAGGGTATTACACCTCCGTTATTTGTCTTCTGCTGACTGTTCACTGTGGATGGCTCCTACGCAAAAATAGAAATGTTTCATTTTTCCTCCCATTTGTGCTCAAAGCATTGTCAGCAAGGGTTTGCAAAAACTCTCATAGTGAAATCAAACTTGGTGGAAAAGTACAAAAATAAAAACAGGCAAACTGGTTTGGCTCCGGTTTTCTTTCTTAAAAATTACTGATAATGATAGTGCACTCACAGTGTCCTAGTTTAATGCATACTTTGGAAAGTTCCCATCTGTTGGAGAACAAGGACAATAACTGTGTTTGACAGGCGATCTCTATTTGTGAGCTTTTCTCCAAGCACACTTTCTGTTCTAGTGAAAAATCTATAAATAAGCCAGCGAGTTAGAAAGCCCCGCAGCACAGAAGCCACCGTTGGTATCTGGTGAATGAAACTCTCCCTTCCTCCCTAGCCTAATTTTACACACACAGGCGTGTGGGCATATGTATAAACACACATGTCCATTCGTAACCCTTGTCACTGGACATCTCCTTGTATGAGACTGGCACGTACAGTTGAAGCTTGATATACTAGGCAGCTGTATCTGTAGTTAGGCATGGAAGAGAGTTACATACAAATATATATGTAAAAACGTATTTGAGTATACTGGCAAAAAATAGACCAACATATCATTTTGAGTCTGGAAAAACAACAAAATCAAATAAACTAAGGAGATGGAAAGAAATAGGAACCTAACAATTATTTCACTTGAACACATTGTCTTGGTTGTTGTTTTTTTTTCTTCCCTCCTATAGTTATACTTAATGTCACATACACCACATAACATCTAGCAAAGTTTATGTGGTCGTTACATTTCAACCTACCCCAACAAACTGTTGAATCAGCTCTCTCCCCCTGTGTTTTTAACCAGGGGTGTCAAAGATAGGGCCTAGGGGACAGAACCAGCTGAGCAAGACTCCAATCTGGCACATAGATAGCCAAAATTGCCAAGGTATTAGACTTTTAAATGTATTTTTTAAATGTATTTTCATAGGTTTTAAAGATTTGGCTGCTGATAAAGACCTTCCCCATGGTCATTCATACTACACCGGGGTAAATAAGTAAAATATTTATCATGCAAGTCATGATGTTGAGATAGCACTTCTTTTTCTTATGTTAGGGATTAAATGTGTAATTGGCCCACTTAAGATCAAAGGCTGTAGGTAGCTGTCGAAGTTTAAGCTTTCGACCGTCATGAAATAGTGTGGTAGAGATTAGAGAGCCACATCGAGTTTGTCAGAGGTTGTAGTTATTATGGCAAAAGTATAGACAAAGTGTTTAATTAGAAAGGGTATTTGTGTGTGATTTTTAAAATGCATCTTACGTCTCAAATGTATATACGTCCAAAAACTCAAGAAAATAAGAAATAAAAGCTGCCCTTGTGTTCCTGAATATTTTCCCTCCCTTACAAAATGTGAAATGGGCCCATAAATATTATCTTCAGTTGAGCGGAATGATATTTTCCCCTTCATTCTCAGCTCATTTAAAGGATCATGACTTAAAAGCAAATCTCTGTTTTGGTATTTTGCAAATCAAACCACTCTGTGTGGAAGCACAAGCTCCCTCCATTGTTTTGAGACATTATAGGCTCAGTGTGAAGTGGCGGCTCCCAAACTAGATTCCAGCACCTCCTCTTTGTCCCTCTAACACCTGTTACAAGCCTCCGAGCTACCACTGAAGTGCAGTTTTTACTGCGTCTTTGGGCTACCCTGTCCCATATCAAGTGCCCCTATTAAACTTGAGAGGAAGAGTGTTAATCTTTTGGCGCTGTATGAGGTGTGTTAGCACCAGAGTGATCAGCTTAGGCACAGTGACGCTGGAGTATTTACACCTAGGCGACAGGTAGAGCAGGAAGGAAACAACTCCCCATCCCCTCAATTAAGAGCTTTTCTCTCAAAGCTGTGCCTGGTAACACTTAACATAGCTAAATCTAAACTGAAAAAGGGTGGAAATGTCTGCTCAGTGGTTTTTGAAGGTAAAGTTTTCCTCTTGTTCGTCTCTCAGTATTATTTTATTTTATTTCATCTTTTTTCACTCGACCAGGTGTATCGTCAGGACTGCGAGACGTTCGGAATGGTGGTGAAGATGCTGGTGGCTAAAGATCCCAACTTGGAGAAGCAGCTGCAGGTTCCTCTCCGTGAAAACCTCGGGGAGATCCGTGAACGTTGCCTAGAGGACCTCAAACAATTCATCAGTGAGCTAGACGACGTCATCCGGCAGCCTGAAACTTCCACCTTTGACTCAACCACTCCCTCTACATCCCAGTCGGGTCATAAACTTTCAAAGACAGCAGTCAATCACAGCTCATCTTACTGACGCATCAGCCGGACGTGCTGCGTTAATGTGAGACAGAGGAGGAAGGCTTGACGGTTTGAAGTCCGGATTGTTCAGCAGCTCAAACCGAAACCATGGAGGTAAGCATGGAGAAAACAGGCCGCCGTGGAGAGAGGACATCCTTTGCAGGAATGACCAGTGTTATTTTTGAACAGACCATTTTTACCTTCAAGTTTTCTGTGGGAATTTATCAATCATAAAGAAAACGTTCTGTTAAGTTTTGTCAAAAGAAACACGTTCTTTATTTAAAATTATTCTCGTCTCACATTGTGAAAATGGTTAACAAGGGGTTTATTATTTAATCTTCTTTTTGATGAGAATATTTTGTGGAGAGCAGAGATTCAGTTCTCCAGCATGATGGGTTTTTGTAGTATTTTCAGCTATGTAAATTTTTCTTTTGTAGCAGATATTTGACTTGGTGCTGCTAAATTTACAACAGGTTGACATACTTGTATAAATTTGTACTGTAAAAAAACAAACAGTTAAATTCACTTTCTTTGTCTTGTCTTATTTTGCATTTGAGCCCTATTCTACATTCATCCAACAAACTTGATTTTTTTTTCATAATCCATTGACAAAAGTTTCATACCCGCGCGCTATGAGAGATCTAATCTCAAGACATTTTTAGGATCAGTTCACCGATGTCTCAATGAAAAAAGCATGCTTTAAAAAAACCCAACCTTTTTTGCAGCACGGATCGATTTTTACGGACCGGCCTTTAAGGTGTCGCGGATAAATACAACAAAATAAAACCAGTACCGGCACCAAAATAAAAAATTATCCATAACACACGGAAAAAGACAGAAACTGAGGTAATAATAAAAACAATAAATATTAACAATAAAAAGGAATAAAAACCATAAATTTCACACCTGAACCTCAACACTCGCCGCCCGATACCAAACGACTCACGGACCGGTACCAGTCCATGGCCCGGGGGGTTGGGGATCGCTGCTCTGAAGTATTTGTAAATCATAATGGTGAATTTAACCTTAGGGATGAAAGATGTTTAAAAACTGTTGTTCATCCAATAGCCTCTGGAGTCTGTGAGTCAACATGTTTTCTATAGCTGTGGTCACAATCGCAAAGACTTCTGTTGCCATGTAAGTCAATGGGAAAACGGATGGCGACAGCTAAAGTGCTCATGTTCTTTGAAAGGTCAATTTTATTAAGACAAACTGCACCTCTAGTGTCTTATTAGTCGGCTAGTTGATACTTATTAATATGTTTATACAATGGAATTCATCCATACAATTTATAGACATAGCTTGCCTAGAAAGCTATAGCCTAGAAAGTTTGGCGGCTGTGTATTCCCTGACCAGTTGATACATGTGGTTGCGGGCTGTGACCAGGTGAAAACAGCATGCTGTACAAAAACCATGCTTGTGATTGCTTTGCTCTCTAGTAGATTGCAGCAGTTGCCCACAGTTTGTTCAGAAATTGCCAACTTGTCTGTAAATGTTTGCCAATTGCTCTTAGAGCTGTAGTAAAATTTGGAGAAAGTGCAACACAATGCAGAAACGGACGGGGAACGTTTGCCTTCAAAGTAAAAAGTTATGCCTTTCCCTGCAACAATTACATTTCAAAAGTGAAAAAAATGTTTACTTTGAAAGCAAAAGTTCTCCGCTTCTGGTTTGTGTCATACTTTTCAGTTTCAAATAGTTTGCGAGTGTTTGCACACAAGTTGGGATCTTCCATGTAATCTACTGGAAACCATGGCAATCTGCAAGCAACCAAAGCATTCAAGGTTTTTCGTGCAGCGTTGTATAGCTATTGATGACCAAGAGCTATAATGCAATGTCAAAATGCATGGTCCAGAAACACATGAGCCAGCCTTTTAAGTAGTCTGTGGTTGCAATAACAATTTCCAAACTCAATAACAGAACAGTCAGTTTTGAGGCTTTGAAGAAAAATATTTATTACAAGCGTTTTTACATCACAAAGCATTTTTGCTGATTATTTCAGAGCAATGGTAGTGAACAGCTGGGCTGAATATGGAAAATACTGGTGGGTCTGCCAGTCATTTTAGAAATTGTACACCAATAATGGAATATATGTGGCACTGTTATTGAATAGCATGGCACGTAACTGAAGAAAGTGGCACTGTCTTAGTTGTTTCTCATAACATATTAAGAGTTCTTTTCACTATTAAAACATTTTTTTAATCAGACTTCAAGCAAAACAACCATTTTAAATGTGGATATAAAAATAGCAGTATTAAAATCTTAACTTAGTATGTACATTTTAATTTTGTATTATGTTTTAAATAATTATTTGGTTAGTTTCTATGTTCTACGTTATTAACCTTTGTGCCACTTTAATACAGAAAAGATACTGCTGCAAAAATTAAATGAACATAAAACATTTTAAAAAGTAAAACTGAATAGCAAAAGCTGAAATTAAAGTTTAACTTCTCCACCCCCAGCTGTACATAATCTGAAGCAAAAAGTGTTCAACTTTATCAGTCCGTGCATTATCTTAGTGCTGAAAATCAGTAAGACCCAGTACTGAGGCCACCTTTGAACACACACGCACACACACACACACACACAAACTATATGTTGCACATCTTTTTTGTGGTCCTAAGAGTTGAAATTAAAGACGTCTTGTTTCAGTCGATATAGGCCTGAAATACGATATGCATTTTGAATTTGGCCATACACTACATGTTAGTGCTGCTATTCTAATCTCAGATTTGATCTGTGTAAACCACCATACATACTGAAAATCTTGACCGCATTGTTTGGCATTGTGCAGATTCTCAAGTAAATACACTCTGGTGTTTTTAAGAAATTATACAGTTTTTGGACCGTTGACTCTTCTGCCGACCAGTCTGTGGGCCATGGCTCTGGGAAGAAAGGGCCGTGACCCTTGTTGGGTAGTCCTCTGCATAGTAGCGCACAGTAGATCGGGGCTGAGGGATTGGCTGACCTAGAAAATAGCCCTCCTCCTCAGAGTCCGATGATGAGGAAGAGCAAGTAGAGCATGAGTCATCCTCATCTCTGTAGAGCCCCATGAAGTGCTCAGCCCGTGGGTCATTATGCATCGAGCTCCCAAGCATATAGTCAGATCGAGTTTGGGGATAAGCAACTGGCAACCTGTGTGAAGGATGTTGCAGGAGCATAGCACCATATGGCGGATTTACAAGACCTTGCTGTTGGGGCTCATACGGCCTCTGCGCCTTCTCCAAAGGCACCATGTGAAGGGCATTGTCTGACCGAGTCTTGCGGCTCCTATGGTGCCTGCCTGACCGGTGGTGGTGCTGCCTGTTGCGCCCTATGTGGCTTGTCGGGCGGATTCTTTCTCTGCCCATCTCATCTGGGCAGTATGCCCTTCTGTGTGGCTTCTCACTCATGGGGTGCTTTCTGATATTGACCTCATATCCATCATTATATCCATTATCCACAGTGTCTTCTGAGAACTTGACCATCTGAGGGGGCCGGGATTGGGACTTGCTTCTCCTCAGAGCTGGAGCATGAACAAAGGTGGCAGGAAGGTCTTCCGAATGTGGAGACAATGAGTGAATGCCACCTTGTGTGTCTCCCCTCAATGTCAGTGCTATTTCTTCCTCGTCATCTTCATTTCCCTTGTCCAGTTTTAGATTGAGGGAATTGGCACTGTGATGAAGATGAGAGGAATTAAACGTTCCCATGTTGCTCATCTTTTCACAGTTCTCTGCCACCAAGGGATTCTGCATGGGATGAAGGGTATAGACTGAAGGTCTGTCCCTCCCATCTCCATCCACTGATGCACCTAAGGAGGATGAACAAGGAAGGTCAATTTTGAGCTTTTTTTTAATAAAACAAAACAATTAAATTCATATAAACATCTCCTTACCAGTGATATTTGAAAGAGCCAGGGAATCCATGGAGTCTCCAACACTCTTTTCAACATTCCTCAGCTCATCAGCAATACACTCCAAAGAGTCTTCATACCACTGTCTGCTGTCTGCCCAGAAGGCCTGTCTTGCCCCAGACTGGTCCTGATCTTGGTCCAACTCCAATTCTTGGATCTTTCTGGCACTGGCAGGACCTGGGTGGCTCCCATAGGCTGAATCTCCCAGCCCGTCCTGCGATTGGGCCCAATACATTTCAGGCAGGTTCTTCTTGCTCATCAGTCCAGGGCTAAGGCTGTTGGCTCGGGATTGGCTGGAAGAATGACTCTGCGTGGGACTGGCAGGAGTGGGAGAAGCAATCCCCATAGATATAGTATCGGGCTTTAGCCAGGGATCAGACATACTTATTAGCCTGTTTGTGTCACCAGAAAGACTAGGAGATTTTTGGGATGGTTGCTGAAGTTGGTGTACCATCCCACGGTCACCAAACTTGAGTAGAAGCTGAGTCATATAGTCTTCGTGCTGGGCCCACTCTTCTGGATCCTCCTCTCCCCCTGCATCCGGCTCCTCCCGCTCTCGCCAGAACCTCTCCTCATCCAGGCCGAAATGAGCAAGCTTACGCCCTACAATATCAATGTCACCATCGGCGTCTGCTTCACCCTCACCATTTTCATGCTTGTGCTCAAATGAGGGGACGGTGGCAGGAGGATTGAAAAGCTGTGACTGCCTCCATTGTTCAGCTGGCCTGCTGCTCTTCCCCATACGAACACTGCGCCGGGATTCACGTGAACGAGCAGACTGGAATGCAGAATCAGATGAGTCTGAGGCATGAATGTCTTCCCCCTGGCTGCAGGCCTTTGAGCAATAGATGTGACCTTGCTTGGGCAGGAATGGGCAACCCAGCAAGGATGTCTTACACTGGGCACAACAGAAGCACTGGTCAGTGGCATGCCAGTGTACACCTTCATAGGTCATCTGGGCATGGTCAACACCTATATGATATGATTAAAAAAAATTAAGTACACAAAAGAATACATCAGTGAGACCTTGTTTTTAGTATAGGGGAATGAAGTGAAAATATAACTTACCAATGTTTTCACCACAGGATTCACAGTACTCTGCGTACAATGACTCAAAGCACCCACAGCAGTAGGGCCTTCCATCCTTCATGATGTACCGCTGGCCTCCTAGCATTGTCCCACACTCAAAACAGGCAAAGTGCTTCATGTGCCAATGACGACCCTCTGCTTCAGTGCACTCATCTGCAAAGATGATCTAACGGGAAAAGCATATTCTAATGTTAATTATGAGGAATCCTTTTAAAACATTAACAGTACCCAGTATACCATTACTGCCATTTACCTCATCACAGGAAGAACATCGCGGTTTTAGAAGCTCGGCGTGGTGTCTGCCGCAGAGGATCTTGCCACTATGGTAGAAATAGATCAGATCCACCAAGAGTTCTTGACATGTGGCACACACGAAGCACGCCGGGTGCCAGCAGGGGTTCGGTCCTGCTCTGGATGCAAAAATTGCCATCTCGCCTCCCTTGATGTCTCCACAGCACTGATAAACACAACAGATAACCCATGAGATTCCAAAGGCGGGAGGGAATACTGAGAGTTCATTGAGAACATAGCTCTGCTTAGGTGATAA